CCATTTACGGTTTGTCTTCAGCACTCGTTTGTTCGGAGCTGATAATCCCATTCAAAAAAGCCTGAGAACTAAGGAACGAAAGTGAAGCGCATGTCTCTCTGTCACTGACAGGCTCGTTAAGCGTTGTCAAGGTAACCGTGCTTCAAAGAGATTTTACCTCCACCACTTTAAACAGCACATTTTAATCTAATGGAGGGAGACAACACTGATTTAACATTAGGAAGTGGATACAATATGACTACTGGCCATGACCCTTCCCTTCACACGCAACCCTGATAGACTTTCAAAATAAGACTCCGGGGACCCTTCAAAATAAAAGCCCCTACATTAAACTCATATTTTTTTCCCAGCATATGGCTCAACATTATGATCCGAACTCAACCACTTTTTTAAAATTAGACTCTAGGGGTTTTTCAAAACACACCCCACAGCAAATTTCAAAATAAAAGCCTCCCATTGCCACTTCATCTACTGCCCTAATAACAGGGGAAAAGAGTGATTTAATGATTGGAAAGTCATCAAGTATCACTGCTGGGTCTGACCCTTTTCTCAACACACAACTGCTAGACTTTCAAAATAAGACTCCAGTGACCCTACAAAATAAAAGCCTCTATATTATACTTGTGTATTAATTGATGCAAATGGCTCAGCATTATGACCCAAACTCTACCAGCTTGTTTCTATTAGACTCTAGGGACCTTTTCAAAACATACCCCAGAGTGAATTTCACAATAAAAGTCTCCCATTTACGCTCTAATACAGCATCTATTCACCCAATAACATGGAAAACCAGTGATTTCATATTTAGAAATGGATTCTATATCACTGCTGGGCATGACCCTTCCCTTGACACACATCCATGATAGACTTTCAAAATAAGACTAAAGGGACTCTACAAAATAAAAGCCTCTTCCTTACACACACTCATTCATTGTGCCGTATGGCTTGTAGCTATGACCCAAATTCAACCAATTTCTTCAAATTACACTACCAAGGCCTGTTGACCACACACCTCAGTGCATATTTCTTAATCAGGTTCTAAGATTTACACTGTAATAAAGCATCTGCTAACCTTGTAACATGCAGCCTAAGCCTGCCAACGGTGCTTTCATCACCACAGCGGCTCGTAACATGCAGGTTCAATTTTTTTTATAAATTCAGCTCCTTAAGTGGTATTAGCTCTCTTTCTATAAGCTTCTCTCTCTGTCCTTCCTCTGCTTCTCATGGTCAGTCTTGCACATAGGTTTGTAGATTTTCAATCCTCTAAGGATGACACTGTTTTCTTTATGCTGATCAACCGACACATTTTAAATAATTTTCCAATTGTTTTGCCAAGTCTTGACATTTCCACATATGATTTCAAAATTTTGATACTTATTCAATACCATCTTCCTCAACATTTTACTTCCCATCCTTAAGCTACTAATTTTTTCTTCAACCAGATAAGATTCAAGTTTTTCTTTGTAATTTCTTTTCTACTTCAGCTAATTTCATACTTTTCAGCCTATGTTGTGAACTTTGGCTTCATTCTGCTCTCTTTCTGGACAGGAATTAAGCTTTTCTGTTTGCTGCTAATTCATAACGCGCCTGACATGTTTCTGGAAAGTAGGTAAACCCCCCTTCAAAATTTCTTTATACATTTTTCTAGAAACTTGGGAGACATTATATTAAGACCCTTCTAGTGCCCACATTCAAGACATTTTTTGATATCATGTATGGTTTGGCTGTGCAGCTTTTAAGATGAGTTTGTTTCTGCCATTTTACTGCCAAATGATTCTACCCTACAAAATCTTCAGATGATTCAATTGTTTTCTGCAGTTTGAAGTTTCTGATGACTTCCTATCACATTTTCAGGTAATTTCAGCTTTTTTCATTCAGCAAAAGCATTCCCACTTTGATGTTTCTCCGAAACAGCTTTTTCTAGTGGCTAAATTGAGGTTGTAATGCAAGATTAACATATGCAAAAAAAAATAATAATTACAAATAAACTATCAATAATCATTTGTCAGCTGTAATTTTATTTGTGTAAAACTATATGAACACACCAGTAAATAGTTTTTTTGTGCATTCACATTTAAATCAGATTTGAGTGAAAATCCTCTTCAGGTGAAGATTGGACTGACAAGTGTAATTTTTTTTTACATGGTCTTGCCTGATATTTCTTTTAGTGCAACTTCAAATTCAGTTTGTGTGTGTGCGGTTTTTCTTTACAGCAGAACATTTTGGCATACAAGTTCAGATTTTTGTGGTACAAATTCTCACATTGCATTCTCAAGTTTTCACATTAAATTCACAAGTTTGTTCATTTTGGCACATATTTACCTTCATAGGAGATGAGTTTATTTACTGAAATTGTACAATAATGCCTTTTCATTAAACAGATGCCTTCTCCATTAGATTTAGATGACTGTGAGGAGACGGGTAGCCTGGCTGGCTCAGAGGCTGGCAGCTCCTGTTCACTGCCTTCTGTTTTCACCGAGGCAGGCAGAAATAGAATGTCCCAGGCAAAGGTAGATGAATGTCACCGTACACTTACCAAGTTCATTGTTTCACAAAATCGATAAGAGAATCTATAAGGAATCAAATCGTTTTACAGAATCGATAAGGGAATCAGAATCAGAATCAATTCCCAACCCTACAATTCACTTCAAATTTCTTGCAAACCTGCTTTTGTGTCTAAAACTGTCTGTTTGGCGCCCTCTTCAGGTTTAAATGGGGTTACTGCATCTGATTTGTTAGTGTTGGCATCCCAGATATTCTGACTTCTCCCACAGAAACAGCAGCTCCACCCTGGGCAGCTACTCTCTGCTGACTAGTAGGAACTAAACGCTCTTGAAAAAACAATATTAATAATTTTGATAACTTGGGACCCAGAGACATAAAGTTAATGTCAAATCATATTCTGTAAGCCTAGAATAATGAGGCCCACTGCATCTGTATAATTTTAATAAGTTTTCTATCCTTTTAAAAATTTCTCTTAACTGAAAATGAAAATACATCCCATATTTTCCTTCAAAATGTTTAAAGAAAAATTATTAAAAACTATTCAGATTTTTGCTGGTAGTCTAATTTGACATCAGCTCTGTGTCAGTCAGTCATTTGATCTAACCTGGTGCAGTTTGTAAAACTGATGCCTTGAAGAAAGAAGGTCCTGGGTTCAATTCCTGGCCTAGGGTCTTTCTGCATGTTTGCTTGTTCTCCCTGTGCTTTTGTGGGCTTTCTCTGGGTACTCCAGCTTTCTCCCACCATGGGCATAGGTTTGCATAGGAACCATAGAGATATGTCCCTACCAAAATTTTGGCCCGACCTACTTGTCCTTTCCTATAATTCTATTTGAATAACATGTTTATAGTTTACAATACAGTGTTGTTGCAGCAGTTGCTTCTTTTCTCACAACTTGTATATTAAAGTCAATATTTTAAATGCTCAGTGTCAGTTCCTTTTATAGTTCCTGCGCCCATGTAAATACTATGCAAATAGATATATAAATATATCTATTTGCAGTCCCTTGAATATGTTATTTTGCTTTGTTTTACAATACAGAGAATATCAGCCTATCAGATAAAAATAATAAGAATGGGTTTTACCTCTGTTTACATCTGCACAATTCTATTTCCTCAAAAGAAAACACAAGATAAAAATACACATACAAGAGACATATTTAAACTATATTTGGTTAAAAAGGGATGTATTTACCTTCACTGGTAAGTTCCAATGTAACCCTTTTCAAAGTGTTAAGTTGTCCCGATTTTACATTATTCTGAGCCACTGATGCTTCAAACATTGATAAAACGCAGCTTGTGTGTGTAGTGTTTATAAATTTTGTACAAATGTAGTAAAAAATACTGTTTTCTCTTTAAACGAAATGTGCCCTGATGCTCACATCAAGCATTGAATAAAATAGGAGCAAGCATAATGCGTAGGATCAATGACATCAGACCAGTTCAACTTAAGACCAATAGTGTCCCTAGCAAGGTTGAGATCAAGCCTACACCCTTGGCTTCCACAGTCCAACAATATGACTGTTAGGTTAATTGGCGTCTCTAAATTGTCCTTAGTTATGAGTGTGTGTCTCTGTGTTGCCCTGCAACGGACAGGTGACCTGTCCAGGGTTTACCCTGCCTTTCATCCATAGTCTCCATAGTAATCAGTGATGCTGCTCTGATATCACAAATTTGTAATTCTTATCAGATTCTAATTTCTGATGACTTAGAAATATTGTGATTTATATAATTCTTGCTAATTAGAGACAAAACCGGGAATTTGGGACTTTTTCACAAAAGAGCACAAAGTATTACAAGATGAAAAATTACTCATGAAACTGACTATGACAAGGTTTTGATAAAAAACATTTCTAGACGGTTTAGTTAAGATAAACTGTATATCCAATGTCAATATAATTGAACTTAAAAAGCCAATTTTTCAAAATTTTTATAACATTCTATGCAGGAGCTTAGAATATAACTTGGAATTTAGGTTTATTCAGTAAATCAACATTATGTGAAACAATTCATAAATTTTGCTTGAAATAAAATAAATAAAAACATAAAACAGGCAATAAAAGATATATACAATACAATAAGAGCAGCTAAAACAATAAGATGATTAGAACATTAAACTTATTAAAACCTGCCCAATAGTACTGCTCAATTGGAACCAAAAGCCATTTAAAATAATATTAAATTATTTTAGGATTGTTCATCTTTACTCTGATTCCTGGTTGTGTGTTGTTATTGTGAAACCTCTAAAAGTAAAAAATAAGTGACTTTACTACTACTTTACTTTAGTAGATTGTGTGTTTATTGGGCTTTAATGTTTATGAATAAACATCCCTATAAAATGATCCTTAATGAAAATCTAACTCTAAAATGTTGAATCAATCAGCAAAATCTCCCACCTCTCCTAAATATGAAGGTGATGAACTTTGCATCGGTCAAACGAAGGATAAGAATAAAATAGAAGAAACTATGATAGAAAATGACTGTCTCTGACCATCTGTGTCTCCATCAGTTAAACCTCAGCCTGTCCTCTCTGTGTCTCCATCAGATAAACCTCAGCTTGTCCTCTCTGTGTCTCCATCAGATAAACCTCAGCCTGTCCTCTCTGTGTCTCCATCATGGCTGAGTCCTGGAGCCTCGGTGACTCTGAGCTGTGGGGGGTTGGAGCATCCATCGGCAAGATGGAGGTTCTTCTGGTATAAAGTGGTTCCAACAAAATCCAGCAGCTCCTACAGCTTAGAGCTGCTGACTGGCAGAACCAACTGGACTGAACAGAACTCCTACCTCATTAATGGACAGAATCACACAGCAGGATATGTGTGCAGAGCAGGAAGAGGACAACCAGTGTTTTACACTAATTACAGTGAACCAAAGTTTGTCTGGTCTGCAGGTCGGTTTATGTTCATTTTTGTATATTTATTCAACAATTCACATTGGAGTTACATATAATCGTACTGCAAAGTCTGTTAAAATAAATTTTTGAACATTTGGAGATTTTCTGATCGATGTAGGGAAAAACTGTGGTATATATATATATATATATATATATATATATTTTTTTTTTCTGTCTTTCTAGAGTTTGCATTTTCTCCCTGTGTATGCGTGAGTTACTAAGGCTTCCTCACACAGTCCTAAATTATGTCTGTTAATTGGCGTCAATAAATTGTGTTAGGTGTGTGTGTGTGCATGGTTGTATGTTGTATGATTAACTAGGACTGGAGTTGTAGTTAAATATTTACCTTATCCAAAATCTGAGGTGTAATCAATTTAGGGTTCTTAGTTGAATAATTGTAGCTTTAATTTGCTTACTTACCAAGGTTTGTGCCTTTCACCTCTGGAAGGTTCCTGGGACGGCTTTTAAAATCCAGGTATCCACACCAATCTAGTGACCTAGGCTAGGTTATCAACAGAGCTATTAATTATCAGTCAAATAATCTTTTTTCTCTGTTTAATCACACTATTACCAGAAGAGGCAACTGCAAGTTAAACAATTAAGTCTTTATTCTAATAATTCAGGGTAACAGAAATCTAACATCTATGCAAAACACTACACACTATTAGAAAATAAACACAAAGTAGACTAAGTGACTAATAAAACTTTAAGAGTCTGTTTAACTGGCTTCTGAGATTGTCCAACATAGGCCAGATGTTAATACATTCAATAATGTCTGTTTGGAAAAGCAGCAGGTACTGTATGATAATAACAACAGTGCGTTTAAAACGTCAATACATTCAGCTTAAATGATAAATGGTTAAAAATGCATTAACAACAGCAGCAGAAGTTTGTTTAGCAAGGAGCAGCACTAGACTGGTTTAAATCTTATTTAACTGATCGATTTCAGTTTGTTCACGTTAATGACAAATCTTCCCCATGCTCAAAGGTTATCTGTGGAGTACCACAGGGATCAGTGCTAGGACCAATTCTCTTTACTTTATACACTCACCGGCCACTTTATTAGGTACCCCATGCTAGTAACGGGTTGTACCCCCTTTTGCCTTCAGAACTGCCTCAATTCTTCGTGGCATAGATTCAGCAAGGTGCTGGAAGCATTCCTCAGGGAGTTTGGTCCATATTGACATGATGGCATCACACAGTTGCCGCAGATTTGTCGGCTGCACATCCATGATGCGAATCTCCCGTTCCACCACATCCCAAAGATGCTCTATTGGATTGAGATCTGGTGACTGTGGAGGCCATTTGAGTACAGTGAACTCATTGTCATGTTCAAGAAACCAGTCTGAGATGATTCCAGCTTTATGACATGGCGCATTATCCTGCTGAAAGTAGCCATCAGAAGTTGGATACATTGTGGTCATAAAGGGATGGACATGGTCAGCAACAATACTCAGGTAGGCTGTGGCGTTGCAACGATGCTCAATTGGTACCAAGGGGCCCAAAGAGTGCCAAGAAAATATTCCCCACACCATGACACCACCACCACCAGCCTGAACCGTTGATACAAGGCAGGATGGATCCATGCTTTCATGTTGTAGACGCCAAATTCTGACCCTACCATCCGAATGTCGCAGCATAAATCGAGACTCATCAGACCAGGCAACGTTTTTCCAATCTTCTATTGTCCAATTTCAATGAGCTTGTGCAAATTGTAGCCTCAGTTTCCTGTTCTTAGCTGAAAGGAGTGGCACCCGGTGTGGTCTTCTGCTGCTGTAGCCCATCTCATGCCACGTTCAAAGTCACTCAAATCACCTTTCTTCCCCATACTGATGCTTGGTTTAAACTGCAGGAGATTGTCTTGACCATATCTACATGCCTAAATGCACTGAGTGGCCGCCATGTGATTGGCTGCTTAGAAATTAAGTGTTAACGAGTAGTTGGACAGGTGTACCTAATGAAGTGGCCGGTGAGTGTATATGCTCCCAATCGGTAGAGATATTAGACAGCATGGGATTAATTTTCCCTGTTATGCTGATGATACCCAGCTATATGTGTCTATAAATCCAGATAAAGTTAACCCATTACATAGATTATAGGCAGGTCTTGAAGACATAAAAACCTGGATGACTCTTAACTTTCTCCTTCTGAATGCAGACAGAAGTTATAGTTTTTGGACCAGAGTCTTTGAAAAAGAAGCTGAGTAGTCAGTCACTTCATTTGGATGGGATTAATTTGATCTCAGATAATAAAATAAAAATTCTCGGTGTTGTTTTTGATCAGAACCTGTCATTTAAATCCCATATCAAAGAGGCTTCTAGAATTTCCCTCTTTCATCTGCAGAATATTGCAAAAATTAGACATATCCTATCCTGGGGTGATGCTGAGAAGCTATTCTATGCATTTGTTACATCAAGGCTGGACTATTGTAATTATTTACTATCAGGTCGTCCACAAACTGTAGTTAAAAGCAATCAGCTGATTCAAAATGCTGCAGCCAGAGTTCTGATGAAAATTAAAAAAAGAGAGATATATCTCCTGTCCTAGCTTCTCTTCATTGGCTTCTTGTTAAATCCAGAATATAATTTATAATCTTCCTTCTCACATATAAAGCATTAAATGGCTAAGCTACATCTTATATCAGAGATTTGATTGTTTTTTATGTTCCTAACAGAATACTTTGCTCTCAATTTGCAGGTTTACTAGTGGTCCCTAGAATTTCTAAAAGCAATGGGACTCAGATCTTTTAGTTACCAGGCTCCTCTCCTGTGGAACCAACTACCAGTTTTAGTCCGTGAGGCAGACACCCTGTCTACTTTTAAGAGCTGCTTAAAACTTTACTTTTTGATAAAGCTTATAGTTAGAGGGGCTCAGGTTATCCAGAGCTATCACTATAGTTATACTACTATAGGCTTAGACTCCTGAAGGACATACAGACTCTTTTTTCATCATTCTGCTTCATTATATCACTATTCTCCTACTCTGCAGAATTTGCTATTTCAATCTCTGACGCTATACTCTCTCTGGTTCATCTGATCTGTTCCTGTTTGGTTGTGACACCATCTTGTAGAGAAATATCAGCTGTGCTGCTGCCATTAACACCTTTGTTTATACAGTAGAGGTTCAGGCTTGGCCTGTTTTTCAGTGTCCTGTTTCTCTGACTGTGACTGGCTGGATGTGCTCTCTTCATCTGCCTGGCTGTGTGTTTCCTGGACAGGGCTGTCTGTGGAGCTGGTTGACAGTTACCTTTTGTATCTCTGCTTCTTTCTCTATGTCTGCCTCTGTCTCCTTGAAACCCAGGAGACAGCCTTGGTTCTGATCTCCTGCCTTTCATTTGAGCTCTGGAAAAGGGATCTGCAGCATATTTCTATAATGTGCACTTAAAACAGGAGCAAATAGAAGTTGAAAGCTGCTGCTTCTGTGTATTAGGAGATGTGACAAACTGATAGGGTTGGGTCTATTGTCAATGTTAATCATATTACTTAAGTACATTTTTATAATTTTTAGATTAAAAACAGATGTAGATTTCATTATTTTCTAGGAAAATGTCAAATCCTGTAAGCAGTTTTTCCTTCTGGATCAGATTATTGTAATTGCCTTTTGAACCAGTTCTGAAAACAAGGGCCAGGATTTTAACAGATAGGAAGCCAACCCTTTTACTCTGCTAGTCAAATCAATATACTGCCTTTCTCTCTAATTTATTCTAAGATTTTTCCTTTCAATGAGTATTCATTACACTGTCCCCTGTACCAAAGTGAACAGGTATGTTTCATCTAGATCAGTAAGGTCATCTACTAGTAATCTACTTTTGATACCCAAGGAAACAGGCTACTTTTAGCTTTTACTTTAACATAGCTGTAAACTTTGATGCTGAGACTTTTTTATCACTGTTAAATTAGCATAATAAAAAACTTTAATTAGATTCAATTAGGTGTATCTGAATTTTATTCTTATTTTCATATTGTATATTTGATCCTTGATTATTTTTTTTGTAAATCAAGTTTTTAAAATCGGTTTAAAATAGAGCTCAATTTATTTATTTATTTAACATTATAAAATGGATGCTATAGAAATATATTAATGTCATTATATGTTAAGATTATGTTTATTTGCAGATTTTCATCCAGATTCTTCTCTCAGAGTGACTCCAGGCAAAGTTCAACATTTTATCGGTCAGTCCGTCACTCTGAGCTGTAGTGGGAACAACGATAAGTGGAGACTGAGGAGGTTTACAGAAACAGCCAACCCATCATACATTGCCTGCTCCAACTGGGGGGAAATGACTGGATCCTCATGTAGCATAAACAGACTCTGGGATCACAGTGGAGTGTACTGGTGTGAGTCTGAATCAGGATGTTTTAGCAGTGCAGTTAATATCACTGTACAGGGTAGGCTATTGTTTATATTTCCTTTCACCTTTCCTGTGTTTAACCGTACTGTAAAGATAACATTCCAAACTATAACTACTTAAATGCATGCTCATCCCTAACATTTAGGTGCACAGAAATAGAGTTTAAAAGATGTAAAATGAGGAGAAGTAAATAAGAATAGAGTGGGAAATGAATGAGGAAATGGTAACAATTTCACAGGGAAAAATTATATAACACCTTTAGTGTCCCATCTTTATCTGAAATTGTATTTGATTGTAGTTTTTACTTGAATCCCGATTTTCTTTAACTTTCAGTATTTTTTTTTTTGCTTTCAATTAACAGTTAATTTACTAATCCTTTAATCTGGTGACTAAATTTTAGATGAGCCAATAGGTTTTATATATTCTTTGCTTATTCCGGCTCTGAGGGGGTTTTTCTTTAAGAAACCTACATGTTTTTTGAGCCTGTAGCCTCCAGTTATTCAATTGTTAAATTATTTGATGATTATTTAAATGGTTGTTTTAACACATTTGATCCACCTGTTGCATCCGAAATTGTTCTTTTTTATGGAATGGTAAAGGATGAAAATGCAGATGAAATGTGTATTTTCAGTAAATGTTGATGAGAACAAAACATATTTCATTCAATTCCATTCAATTCCAAACTATGATGTAAATTAGATAAGAATAACTTCACACTAAAGGTTTGACTTCAGCAACATACTGTAGATAAAAGTTAAGGTTCAACAGAGAAAAAGTTGTAAGAGATATTTAAAAAAAAATGTTTTTAATTTATACAATGATTTATTATATTATAAACTTGAAGAAATCAGATAAAAAAAAGTGATTGCATTTTTTGTAAGAAGGAATTAAGATTCAGAAAACAGGCTTAGATACTGGCTCACATAATGCTTATTTTTGTCTTGGAGAAATTAAGTAAATACAACATGATAGATAAACTACACTTTCTGGAATCATAAATATGAAACATGAGAGAGAGAAAAAAACATTTCTAACACTTAACTTTTTGCAACTTTTTTTTAACATAAAATCTTATCATTATTAACATTATTAACATTATTAACATTAAGAACAATAATTTCTGAGAAGTTTGTTGTTATCTTACCAAAGCAGGGTCATTCTTTGTCTAGGTTTAACATGCATTGATAAAAAGCTTATTTCCAAATATTTCTCCATAAACCAGATTTATTTTAAAAGTGACCAACTGATTGCTGACCAAAACCTGATTCTGACTGTTTTACAGATAATTATTATAGTATCATCCTGGTGAGCCCCGTCCATCCTGTGACTGAGGGAGATCCTGTTATTCTGAGCTGCAGAGATAAAGAACAAAAACTTCTCTCCAATGTGTTTTTCTATCACAACAACAAACTGATCCATAATGGCAGCAGAGGGGAGCTGAACATCTCTGCAGTGTCAAAGTCAGATGAAGGTTTCTACAAGTGTGAACATTCAGGAAAGAAGTCACCACAGAGCTGGATGGCTGTTAGAGGTGAGAGGATGAAAACATTTGATGCACTTTTTACAACAAACCATTTTATCAAGTAAATAGGTAAATTTGCTTGTTTCCTTGCAACTGTGTGAATCTAGTAATTGATTATAAATAAAGCAGGCCCCAAAATGACAGAAATATTCCTTAAATATTCCTCATTCCCTGTAAATGCTAATTTACTCAATGTCTTTTTGACAAGGATCCAATAAGAGAATGAGTGGCATTAATTCACAGTGAAATAAAATATTGATCAGGAGAGGGTCATTAGACCATATATAGATGTACTTCTATATTTTGAAGATTAACTTAATAAGCGTTAATGTTTTACCTTACAATCCATTACATATACTTATCCACGACCTTATCCGTTCTCACATTTTTAGCGTTACATAGACATCTTGAACAGGTATTTAACTGAACTTGATATCACTGTGAAATGGAAGACTAAATTGAAATGAGGAGGAACCCCATTGATTGATTGATTGACTTTATTGACCTCACAGTGGAGAAATGTACTCGTTACATCGGCTCAAATACTCAAAAAGAAAAAGGTGCCATAGGAATAAAAGGTTTATGGAAATATATACAGAATGTACAGTGAGACCACAGATATATATATATAAAGCTAAATTTTTATTTTTCTTTTAAGCAGGATTATCATACAGGGTTATTGCACAGAAATGTATTTACATGGGTATTTATATAGATGGGTATTTATCTATAACTATTGGACTGGGTATCAAATATAAAGAAACAGAAAAACTGAACAATATTTTTAATACTTTATCTTCACTTGCCCTTAGGTGAGCTCCTCCCCCTGTGGGATTGCACCTAAATGGATTACATTAATTAAATAATTTTAATACTATAATTTTCCCTGTTATGTTATTCTGGTTACAACTGTGGCAGGCCGTTTTGTTTTATTAGTTTGTCTGAATAGGTATTTCACATATCTGAAAAATAATATTCTTTGTCAAAATGAACATTTCAAACCAAATTAAATTCTTCATATCTAAAATAAACATGCTCAATGTCTAAAAATAAATTCTAGATCCACGTATTCCTATTGTTACTGATTATCATTTGTATTCATTTGACATGGAAGAAATGTATGTCAGTTATATTAATACATATTCAGCCAAGCTGATAAATGTTAAAATGGCATTTATCAAAATGGCATTTAATTCTTACTAGTACAATTTGGTTACTTTTACTTTCTTAAATCAGTTTCAGTTCCGACTAGGAATTTGACTTTGACCAGGAATAATCCTATTTAAGTGATTTACAAATGGAACAACAGAAAGGAGGGCTTTTAATAAATGTCAAAACGACCTGCCATACAGACTGCATACAGGTATATACTTGAGCATTAACTCAAGCAGCAATATTCTCCTACACCATCTCCCTTTCATTTGTAACTATATTGCTGTTGCTCTTTCTTTTAAACACATTCTCCAAAAGTTTTTTTAGAATTCATCATCAATATCTCTAGTTCCAGCGGTGTGAAATAATCAGTTCCTCTTGCTTGTTGTCATGGTGACTCATCGAATCGGGGCTCCATCGATGATGTCTTTTCATTGTAGTTATGTACAGGCTTAACTCTGAGTGAACCTACTCTGAGTTGATTAAACTAACTCACACCAGCTGTTGTGAAACCGAAAGCTTAGTTACCATCCTTAGACTAGCTTAGTTCAGAGTTGAATATCAGACGCTGAGTTTGTTAAATCTGCTTTTTAAAATTGGCCTCTGCTCTCTATATAGCTCCCCCTAGCTATGCTACTTGTAAATGCTGTGACAGAATTTTCAACAATGTCAGCACTTGCTAACAAAATATTAACTGTGTAACAAGATAAATCTTCATTTAAAAGTGACGTATCTATTTTCATATTGACATAATATTAGTGTAGTACTGCCAACAGTTATGCATGTTGCTTACCTTCTCCTGGTAACCTGGTAATTTATGACAAAAAAATATTTTACTGAGTTAGGGAGGAATCACAGGATATATGTTCTTAATAAATACTGTGTGTGTGTTTACTGTTTTTCTTATTTATTTTCAGAGTATCATATGTTTTCTTTAACTTTCCTTGTTACAGTGACTCTGTCCAATCCCACTGATTCTTCCTTTCCTGTGCCGCTTATCATTGGGCCAGTTATTGGAATTGTTCTCATTATTCTGTTGCTGCTGTTGTGGCGCTACACACGGTCCAAGGGTGAGATACTTTTTCTTCTCATACTATGCAGTGATTAAAATTCTTAATCAAGTAAAACATTTTCATCTATTTTTCTGCTTTGACAAAATTGAGAAACAAAGCAGTTTGTACCACAATGTGACAAATTACCATTTTTTTTGTCCACAGATATATGGTGCCTCAGGTCAGTACATTGGTGTTTACTCCTCCTATTTTAGACAGTCATCCTCCTTTCTTTAAATTTAAGTTGACCTTTCACATAATTTAGATCCGAAAGCATCAGTCAGAGCTCCACCACAAATCATGGATTAACCCTGACAGACAGTCAAGTTTACAGCACTCTGCTGCACGGTTAGTAGCTTTGTATTCGATTAAAAATTTATAACTACCCCTATAAATTTTTTTCAGGCATTAAATATCTTTAATGCCTGAAAAAAAAAATATATAAATGAAAAAAAATTAAAAGTCTAAAACAGCCATATTGTAGGTAAATGCATGAATTACAGAAACAAACAAGCAAAAAAAAAAATGGTTAAGATGATTTATGTCCTATTATTCAGAACATAAATCTAATTGTTGGAATTTATTTTAACATTGACCTTTTTACTGTTTGAAGGTGATACTTCTGAGTATGAGACAATCCAGCGAGCCACTGACAATGGTAAACTATATTTGTTGCTACGACCAGAAATGGGGCAGCTGGCAGATTTACCGATTTCAAGGGTTTTAAATAATTAACAAAAAATTACATATAAGAATGAGTTTATAGGCCTACATGACAAGAAGAGTTACATTTACAAGAATTAAGAAATTTAGATTTTAAGATGAATACTCCTGTTTTCCTATTATATGGTTCTAATAATGTAAATATTTGTCTGCTTGTGAAACCATTAATAAGAATAGTAGTAGATAAGCAGCTACAAGGAAAATAAGTTTTAATTTTTTTTAATTTTTTTTTTATCATTATTATCTTAGTTTAATTGTTAATGTTTCACTATATTAGCAGGGATCCCTGATGACCCAGATGAGGAGGATCCTGTCTATACTAATATGAAAACAGAAACAACAGGTAGGTGTTTTCACCTCATCCAGCTAGTGTTTTACACTGAACTGTGTCTTCCTTGCAACACACTGTAAGTAATGAGAACTCAGAATGCAGTTCAGACTATCATCTACCCTTTGAGTATCTACATACAGATAGTAGATATCTGCAGAAGCAGTATGATCGGAAAAACAGCTGAGGACTTCTAGAGCCCTGGAGAACTGTCTGACTATATGGCTAGAACATAACGTTTTATTTTTTTATTTTTTGCTGATTAGATGAAAGGTTCTGGTGATTTGTTCTTTAAATTATACCATATAAATACTCTGGTTTTGTTAACTTCATCACTAAATACACAGATTCAAACTCTTATTTTATATGCTACTAATAATTGTTCCCCTTTGGAAAAATACTGAGATCTGTTTTTTGTTTTAGTACCCATTGAATGCTAAGAAATAATCCGATGTAATGAGGAGAACAACAACAAAAAGGTATAAAGATATAAACTCTTCACTTAAATAATTTTGTATATTTATATTGTCCTTCCATATAATTCTAATTGTATATTTGTGCACATTCACAGTAAAATGTTTCACCTACTTAGTAATGAGTTGTCAATTATTTAGAATAGTATTCCTAATTGGAAATTAGCACAGTGGTTAAATCCTCATGGTTTGAAATGTTGAATATAACAACTGATGACAAAATAAATTTTGATCTTTAAAGTATTTTTTTTTTCTTTAAATAGGACGGTGGAGTCCAGCAGCTCATGTAACCATTTATTTTCTTATCAATATCTAATAACGTAGTTTTGGGATTCCCTCACTCCATATAACGTCACACCTCTAAACAGCATTATATTTGGCTGGGACATGTAAAGTAAAAAAAATTTAAATGATTGTACTTTTAGAATTTCTTTTTCATAATTTTATTGATTTTCAATTATTAATATGTTTGTTTACCATAATATTATTTATTAACTTTTTTCAACACAGTATATTCCTATTGAGTAACAAATATTTATGAAATCCATTGTTCTAAATACTTAAGCTAATTGTAGCCTGTCTGTTGGTTTAGTAAATTTGTGACAGAAGCATTATTAAACATTTTATGAAAATGCTGTAAGAAGCTCTAGAATAAAAACCCAAGAATGCCCGGAAGTTGAAACAGGTATTACAGGTATTACAGTGTATATTATTCAAAGTAATGATATATTACTGCTATTCTTAAATTTTTCACATTCAGAAAAACATTGGACTTGATGTAAATATGTTCCTTTTTTTAACCATTTAATTATTTTATAGTCTTTGGTAGGATATTTCTATTCGTATTTTGATTTTTACATCTCCTATCTATCATTTATGTCTTCAATTTAGCAAAGCCAAGTTGAATGTATCTGTGAAAAATTGGCTTTATTTTGAGAGATGTGTAAGGAGATTGCAGGTTTTTAAGCTTTTCAACAACGTAATGATAATTTTCTTCTTGTTACCATGTTTCTTACTAAATGTGTTACAGACAGCGGTTGTTATGTACTGTATGCATCCTATGTAAAGAGTTATTATGTTAAGTGAAAAGAAGTAAAAAAAAATGACTTTGTGTAATTTTTGATGTACATTTATCAGAAAATTGCCAGTTGAATAACCTTTTACACACTTGTCACTAATGAATGTAAAAATATTTCTTGAAAATAAAACAATAAAACTTCTATGCTGACCATCTTTTCACATTACCCCTTGGAATCTTCATATTCATGCGAAGTAAGCTTG